CTTAGGACCTGTGTTGCACCACTTACCCTCAAAAGAATAGGCGAAGGCCCAACAAATGGAATGCCTCGGCCTTACTTTCAGTTTTTGGATCCCTCTGTTGATTTCTCAGACTTTTGTGCCAAATAATGCTCAAGCATTTCATCATCATCGTCTGCACAAATCATGAAACATTTCATCTTGCTACTTCAGAATTCTAGTAGATGAAACATAATATGCAAACGAGAGATTAAGGGTTCGTTTGGGACGGCTTTTTTATTGCTTTTTAAAACAGAGTTTTAGTATAAATTTTTTTATTTTTTTACTTAAACTCCGTTTTAGAAAGCAATAAAAAAGCCGTCCCAAACGAAGCCTAATTTGCAAAATATGTAAGGCCGGACCTTCAAAGTCATCATCAAAGTCAATTTCTTCCTCTTCCTCGGAATCCTCGGAAACTGTAGTTGGACCTTTCTGTAGAGCAAACAGAAGGTTCAGAAATGAAATGCCAGAGTTAAAGCTTTATTATATCATGTTAAAGTGCACTGCAGGTGGCTAAACATGAAAAATCAAAAAGTTACACCAATAGAAATAATAAGAAAAAGGGTGTCAATTTCGGGTCACGGATCAGGTTCCGGTCGAACCCAAAACTGACCTGGCACTATTCGGGTCAACCCGAACCCGACCCGTTTTTACAAACAGGTCAGTTTTCCAGACCCGAACCTGACCCACTTCGGGTCCGGGTCAACTCGACACAGCCCGACACAACCTGAATGACCCGGCGCCAACAAAAAACTGCTAGTTTTCGGATCCAAAACAGGTCAATCTCCGCTTTTTGGGTTAAAAAGGGTCAATCTCGGGTTAGCAGGTCAAAAATAGGTTTTTGGGTCAAAGGGTCGACTCGAACCCGACCCGATTTTTGAAACGGGATGAATTGTTGAACCCGAACCCGACCCGTTTCGGGTTCGGGTTGACCCTAACCCAAAATTTTCGGGTCGAGTTCAAGTCGGATTTTCGGGTCGTGTCAAATATTAACACCCCTAATCAGAAATATAATATAATGGTTGAGCGGGTAGAGAAGCAGAGAGCAAAGCCTAAACTTATCACAATCTGGTGAGGAACAAAACAAAATATTACCGCTGCAGCTC